GTTGATACCAGTGTTTACTACACTGAAGGGGCTATCCTGTATAAATATAGATGTCTACTCTACTGTTATATTGTTTCCTGGTGAGAAAATAATTATACTGACTGTTGATATCATATTCCTGTCGTAAAACTAGGTATAAGCTGCTTCCTCGTCATGTGAAGTTCTTTTCTTCCTTCATGTATCAAGGTTCCTTTGTCGTTCATCTCACAGACTCCCCTTGTTGTACTTGAGCTTGGAATTTTACGGAACTAAATCGAGAACTTCTCAGTTATCGCAAACCGCAGGATAGCAATCTTACAGTATGAAAGCTTTTGAACGTGAAGCCTTCCTGGTGAAGCCTGGTACTGAGTTGGCGACTATTGCGAGTTATATCGAGATGAGACAACTTAATAAGATGCTCATAAGAGTTTAGACTTCAGAGGAACCTTTCTTTTTGCAGAAGTATAGGCCATTGCAGAAACGCGAGAGGACTGAGAAAGAGTGTGGTTGTTTTCCGTTTGTTTGAAAAACTAAGATATTTAAATGAAAGATCAACTAAATTTGAGAGTCTTGAGCAAGAATAGAAGCATTTAGAGGAGGAAAATGGCAGCTTTTCAAATATCTCCTAAAAGAGAGAGTTTGTTTGCATTGAGTAGACAGGACAAAACTTTTTAAGGGTTTGTATGGAATTTTTGCAACTTTTGCAAGGCTCCAATTTGGACACTTTTCCGCTGAAAACTCTCAAACTTGGCTGGGTAGCTTTTCATTCACTAACATTTCAGTTGAAATGTTTAGATTTTCAATGTAATCAATATAAGAAACTCATTCCAGTCCTCTCACGTTTCTGCAATGGCCTATGACTAGACTTAGAAGTGTATTCATTTTCAACTTAATTGCAACTGGATATGTGTTGTTTAAGGAGTGTTTTATTTATGAAAATAAGTGTTGTTTACGAAGAGTGTTTCTTTTTATTAGAATAAGTGTTTTTGTAAAGAAACCTCTGGACACAAATTATCATTTAAACACCTGCATCAAGGCTTCTATNTGAATTCCGCGTTAAATTGCACTTGAAAACCGATATCGCACTCATCGCTTTGCGATTCGTGCGATATCGGTTTTCGCGTGCAATTTAACGCGGAATTCACGAGTCAGGTAATATGTTTTCCCATAGAATTCGATAGCACCTTAGCGATTGTACTTAGGCAATATTATTCACCTCAGGCTCAGTGAATAGTTTTGAATAATCCCCTCGACTTTAATATTTTATCAGTGATTACGATTATTCTGTTTTTCAGCTCTCACTGGGCTGTTACATAAACGTCTCCAAACTCCTTTCATAGCAATTAAAATCTGCCAGAAGCTGTCAGGAGGCTGAATATACACTGACCGAAGGCAAAGTCACGACCACAAAAAAACAAAATGAATTTTACTCTGTTGGCTTTCCTAGTTGTTTTAACCATGTCCAAAATCAAAACATCTCAAGCATTGCCTTGTAAGGAAGCGTCTCTTTCATGTCCGGTGATGACTCGCAAAAATCGACGACTTAAAGGCTTCACGTTCAACACCTTTCACTCTGCAAGCCTGGTATCCTGTGGTTTGCTATGTCAGAGAAACCCTCGATGCGTTTCAACAAATTTCAGAAAAGTTTTCGATAGTACTGGAATCTGTGAGTTGAACAAGAAAGGAGCCTTCTTTCCTGAGAAAGGAACAGAACTGGAACATGATGAATATGCTGTTTACGCTCAATTTTACAAAACAAAGGTACCAGAAAGATATATAATTATATTTTTAAGCGCTTATCCGTTTATTTACTAAAAATATATCTAGATGAAAGACAAAAAGTGAACGTGTGCTTCACTTTGTCACGAGGAAAAAAGAGTTTATCGACTGGTCAGTAGTAGAACATCGAAACACGAAATCCTCAGGCGTCTGGCCTGAGAATCACGACTTTTTTTACAATTTTAGATATCTCTCTTCTTCATTAAAACTTTCTATTTTTTAACGATAGAAGCTAAAAATCAACACACTATTTCTTCATCCCTAGCAAATAAAACTATGGTGCAATGCTGGGTTTTCGTCTCTTTTTTTAAATCGCGAGTGGAGTATAATTAGCGGTGTTACTGAAGATGTTTTTAGAATTAAAAAAAAACTATTTTCTAAATTTTCAGTATCAGTGAAGATACCATGAATACAAACTGCTCCGATGCAGATTGAAGTTAGAAATGATGGAGTTGAGCCTTCTTAAATTACTGCGTGGACTGAAAGAATATCATATTGATTTAAGACACAAAATTGTACTCTTAAAACTTTAAAAGATGCGTAAGCGAATTTGAATTAGCACTCAAGCTCGTTCCGTCTCTATTTAATGATTAACTTATGCTGGAAGACTAATTGATTTCCTATTGGAAGAAAACTGATGAATTTTATGTGTGAGCAGCACCACTGCCAAGCTTTCAAGAAAGAGTTTAAAGTCGTCAGGTGCAAATGTAAGTAGGGCTGATCAGCAAAATATTCTAACGTTTAACTAATGTCTAAGACCCCGCATTTACCTCACATTGTGTTGTTCGTCCCAGTCGCCTCTTGTCTTTGTGTCAAGATGCGCCCCGTCAATGCTGCGGAGTCTGCCGGCCGTCTTCCGCCTGCCTTTGCGAATCTTCGCGAACCTTCCCGAATCTTCCCGAACCTTCCCGAATCTTCCCGAAGGCTGTGTGCTTTTTATTTTTTTAGAGTATTTGGAAACCCTGATCAAACAGGATGCTTAAGTTTTTTTAAAGAGCTTCCCAATCGCGCCTCTGGAATAAAGAAAAATGGAAGTATTCATGAATTTTTTATATTGTTTTCAAATACGTGTTGTTGATATTCAAATATGAGGTGAGTTCACTAGATTTTGATCCTTTATCAAATTCAAGGATTTATTTTACATGAAACTCATAGATAAAGCCTCAGTCTGATGCTTGAGACGAAATCGAAACTTCAAACTACCCTGATTTTTTACGATGTTTCTCAGCGTTAAAATGTTTACAACAACCGTACTCATTGGTCTTAAACTTGTCAATATGTGCGATTGTTTTCTCTGTATATGATTTGTAGGTATGGAATCACCAGTTCCCCTAGGTATGGAAAGCGGTGTTATTACTGACTCGCAAATCATTGCGTCATCTGAATATGCATCTAACCATGGCGCACGGTATGCTAGGTTACATTTCAAGGGAGCCAGACACCCCGGGTTTGTATCTGCTGGCTGGGCAGCTAAGGAGTCAAACACCAACCAATGGCTGCAGGTCGATCTTCGGCAAACAACAGAGGTAATTGGCATAGCCACTCAAGGGAGACATGATTACGACCAGTGGGTTACTAAATACAAGCTTCAGTATGGCCAAGACGGACAAACTTTCAGGGTTTACAGGCGAAATGGAGACACCTCTGACACGGTATGAATACAAATTTCTATTAAACAAGATGTCTTTTTTTTTCTTGTCGCAAGGGTGGGACAAAGAAAAAAACAATTCAGAGTCCCTAAGAGGAATCGAACCTCACACCTTCGAATTCTGCGCTCCAATGCACAACCGCTGAGCCACAGAGGGCCCACAGAGAGCTAGGCTACTACGAGGTCCATATATATTCATATACGTGCTTTTCTTTTTGCTTTTTTTGGGGTCTGAGACGAAGTCGAGGTACTTGAGCACGCTGGAGAACGAGTTGTAAAATTTAGTGCGATCAACTGAATGTAGTATGGTACATTCCTCTGCTGGTGTTATTGTAGAAAAGCATCAACCAAAGTTATAAGTTAAGAGTAACTTGTAGCTACATATTAACATTTTGTTAATTTTTACGCCCAAATATTTTCTGCCCAGGTTTTCACGGGAAACACTGACAGGGACACCGTTGTTTACCACGATTTTAACCCGGTCATTGTTGCTCGCTTCGTTCGAGCTCTTCCGATGGGATGGTATGGTCATATCACAATGAGAATGGAGCTTTACTCTTGTCAAGGTAAGTTTCTGGTGAGGTTTTTAGCCCTGGCCGGATAATTATGCTTAACGTGTTCTACGCGGCGAAGACACTCAGTTTTCACAGTCACACCTTCTACTTGGCAAAACTTAGGGAAATGCTGCTGGCAGGGGGGGAATAGGGTTGCGGGGGGAAGGGTAAACTGTACTGAATGGCACTTAAGCGTGGTACCCAGAAACCAGAACGATCCCTAGTTTACAGTCCCTGATTTGGCCTTGAATGCTCTTACTAAGTCAGTCTAACAAAGTATTATTGGGAGCGCTCTCGCATTTTACATCGCATTACTTTAGCTTTTAGCAGTGATAAAAATGTAAGTTATCTCTGGGGTCATAATACACAATCTTGTAAGCAGGCGAGAAGATGACATGATTGAAATATCAGCTGATGGCTTTTGTTTTTGATAGTGCATAAAAGGCTCTGAACTTGTTTTACAAGCAGAGGTATAGGAGCTGAAAGGAATAATTATCAATCAGATCTTGGGAGTCTAACGGTTAAGGCAGAGGAGTTGAGAAAAACGGCTAAAACTATCTAGTACATGCTTATTAAAACTGTCTTTTTTTTCTCATGATCGTTCATTTTGCAGCCGAATAACAGCAGTTTAAGAAGAATAGCACAGTGATTCAATCATTCCTTTGCTGACACGATGTGATCGTTGCTTGTGCTTGTGGGTTACAAAGTACAACAGCTGATTGACTGATCAATTATTGACAGTTTTAGCTTAATGATCGTCATCATTTATGAGGGGAGCAAAATGTACCATTGGCAGCTCATTGAAACGCACATGTAAAAACACGCGATCATGCTCTTTTGGAAGCCTTGGGTTCCACCAACCTCAATGCCTGACGAAGACTAAGTGTGGTCTTCGTAATGCCTTCTATATTTGTATGATTTATAACTTAATTGTATGATTTATACCTTAAATGGTCTCTTAACACTTCAGTAGAGTAACTGTTCTTGTTTTGCATAC